GTTATTTACTTTGGCCTTTTTGGAAACACAGGAAGGAGCAATCAGCTAAGTGAGCAACAGGAAACGGGACAAGAAAAAAGGGACAAACGAACAACAAATAATGTGTCTATTCTATTAAAAATGTTTTGTATCTTTATAATGATTCTTTTTTATGTGTTTTCTTCTCAATATATAGGGCCCTCTACCTGTCCTTGCTTAGGGTCCCAAATTTCTTAAATCCGCCTCTGCATGCATTGATAGACTATGGACTTCTTTATGACAGCTCCTTCTGCACTATGTTGGAGGAGCATGGAGACCCTCCAGAGTCCTATGCAGGGTCTCCATGCATGGGACTCTGGAGGAAAGAAGTTGCAGGTTCACTGGTACTGGAACATACATTCCCAAGGCCAAACAACGGGACTTTGAGAACCTATGTGAGCCATATATGAGGATCATAGGAAGTGAAAGTAGAGCTGATGGATGGGTGTCTTGAATGGATGTCTTGACTACGGTTTCTATTCATTTATTGCCTTGTTATTTTTCTAATCTAAAGGTTTTGTATATTTTTGGAACTAGAAAAATGCAGGTTTGAATGGTGAATGCATCGATGGATGTAAGTGTATAAAAGTACATGTTACAAGGTTAAGGTTGTTATGTCAAAAAAGAGAAAATTCAAAAAAATATATTGAAAAAAAAAAGTTAACATAACCACTAATACCTTCATCATTTAACACCGTTACTCCCATTACTGCTAACTAATCCCTTAAATCTGACGTATTTAACTTTATTTCATACTCATATTCTAATTAGTATATTAAGGCAGAATTATACTGCAAATAATTTAATAGGTAAAATAAGCTTCAATAGACTTTACACTTATTTCATTTTGATAAGAAATGTAACTATTATTACTGTTTGAAAGAAAAAATGAAGGAATTAAATAAATCATTGAAAAAAAAATAGACATCAGACCAAAAACACTGTTTACCAATGTCTCAGGAGGGACACACTAACACACACACACACACACACACCCAGCCGTACTCCCATGCTGGGTAGTGTATAAACCACAGGCAAACACAGCTATGACAAGAAATTAATCAAATGCTGTCATTATGTCAATTTGCCTGGACCAGAGGCACTGTTTCTTTTTTTGTCTCTCCTTTTATTCTCCCTTCGGGTCTGTGTGTGTGTGTGTGTGTGTGTGTGTGTGTGTGTGTGTGTGTGTGTGTCTAACATTTGCTACAGTGTAAGCACCATTTCTCTCACATATACTACTTTGCGGGGACCATTCTTTGCCTGCTGCTTTTATTTTAGAGGTCCGGTTTAGAACCAGTGTGTGGTTTAGGTTAGGTTTAGGTTAATTATGAGCCCTGTGTCGATAGAAGGACCTAACATAATGAGTGTGTGGACGGCTGTGTGTGTCTGAGGCAGATTAATGTGCCAATCAACATGTGCATGAGCATAAGCCGCTCTGTTTTGGTTTTAAGTCTCTCACCTGTTCTCGCATGTCTCTATAGTGCGGGTAGAACTGCCTTCAACAGTGTGTGAAACACATGTGTGTGTGTTGGTGTGTCAAGAGTGTTTCGCTTTCTTCAGCCATAAAATCCCAGGAAAGTCTAAACAGATGCTTTCAGAGGAAAAAAATATCAGTGCTGTGCGAGGGAGCTGAGAACACACCCAACGATGAAGATGGTGGAATATGGACACATTTCCTTCACACACACACGCTGCCCTGAGGCAGGAGGTTTTTAAGTTCAAGGACCATCTGAGCTTGGATTATAATTGGTTTGGTTCATTCCGGGAATCAATGACCTTTAAAATAAATACCACTTTTATCTCTCTTTGGTTCCTTTTATTTTGATCTTTCCTGTCTGTCTCAAACTATCTAAAAAGAACCAAACTTAGCAACCAATTGAAATTATTGAAGGGGGGGAAACAACATAATGTCTCCCTTATCTGGAATTCCTGCATCTCTGTTGAGTCTTTTTTTTTTTATCATTTTTTTGTCAAAACCTCACAAGTGAATGTAAGGATTATCAGGTTTCAACATGAAAAATGTTATAGATAAGAGGGAAACCATGGCAACACAGAACTAATTCTGTTCACAAAATAAAAAGGCATTGACATCTATCATCCGGGTGAAATCATAAAGAAACAACAGATTAAGATGAGTGGATTAATAGACATTAGTTTTTTTGGTGGATCAGCTCATTATTGGAGGTTTAACATAAGAACAGGTCCAAAACCTGGTAACCTGGCTTTGTCTGCTGTCATCCTCTCTGCTTCACCTGAACACAAGATCTCAGCTGGAGCAAATAATACATTAAGTGTATTTAGCAAATTCATACATTTAACTTTATCACAATTAAATAGAGGAATTCATAATTTATTTCTACTTTTAATTTGTTGAAATATTTAAAATTACAGTAGCAGCTATTCAAAATGGTCCTTCCCAGCCAAACGTCAGCCAAGGACCAGCCAAGGACTAGCCAAGGGCCAGCCAAGGACCAACCAGGGACCAGCATAGGACCAGCCAAGGGCCAACCAAGTACCAGCCAAATGCCAACCAATAACCAGCCAGGGACCAGCATAGGACCAGCCAAGGGCGAACCAAGTATAAGCCAGGGTCCAGCCAAGGACCACCCAAGGGCCAACCAAGGACCAGCCAAGGACCAGCCAAGGACCAGCATAGGACCAGCCAAGGGCCAGCCAAGGACCAGGCAGGGACCAGCATAGGACCAGCCAAGGGCGAATCAAGGATAAGCCAGGGACCAGCCAAGGACCAGCCAAGGGCCAACCAAGGACCAGCCAAGGACCAGCCAAGGACCAGCCAGGGACCAGCATAGGACCAGCCAAGGACCAGGCAGGGACCAGCATAGGACCAGCCAAGGGCGAACCAAGGATAAGCCAGGGACCAGCCAAGGACCAGCCAAGGGCCAAGCATAGCACCAGCCAAGGGCCAACCAAGGGTCAGCCAGGGACCAGCATAGGACCAGCCAAGGGCCAACCAAGGACCAGCCAAGGACTAGCCAAGGACCAGCCATGGACCAGGCAGGGACCAGCATAGGACCAGCCAAGGGCGAACCAAGGACCAGCCGAGGACTAGCCAAGGACCAACCAGGGCCAAGCATAGCACCAGCCAAGGGCCAACCAAGGGTCAGCCAGGGACCAGCGTAGGACCAGCCAAGGGCCAACCAATTACCAGCCAAGTGCCAACCAATAACCAGCCAGGGACCAGCATAGGACCAGCCAAGGGCGAACCAAGGATAAGCCAGGGACCAGCATACGACCAGCCAAGGGCGAACCAAGGATAAGCCAGGGACCAGCCAGGGACCAGCCAAGGACCAGCCAAGGGCCAACCAAGGACCAGCCAAGGACCAGCCAAGGACTAGCCAAGGACCAGCCAGGGACCAGCCAATGTTGGCACGTATGCACATATGCACCACTGCTATAGAATCCAGACAGCTGTTAAATCATTAACTTTGAATTAGTTCTGGTAGTGCTGGACAACTAACCACATTTAGTCACATTAGATTTATTGAGAATGAGGCATGTGGTTTCCCACTCCGACCCTTTAGATGGCAGTAAAACGTCTAAAGTGGAGAGCATGAACAGACATGTCAAGTAATGAAATACAAATACTTCATTACCTTCCTTAAGTAGAACTTCTGGCTATCTATAATTTACTTAAGTTATTATTTTTTAGACAACTTTTTACTTCTACTTCTTACATTTTAAAAATAGACTCATTTGTTTTGTTTCAATTAAGCTAATTTTCATTACGGCCTGTTATTATTTAAAATTTTATTTTAAAAAACATCAAAATAATGTGTTTCATCCAGACAATTAAATTCTTTGTGGTTGGACTCAGTGTTGCCCCAACTTGTTGTTCACCACCAACCAGAATAAATTGTTTTTCAAAGTTTTTTGCAAAGTTAAATGTGACACTGTTACCATTAGTTATAAAACTTAGAAAATGAAGTCTGAGGAAGTTATCATCCAGAATTGTAGAAAAAATGTTCCTTTAATGGGGTAGAGCAGTAAAGCTTCTGACATTTTTCCCTATATTACTTTGACTTTTATATACTAAGTAGTTTTAAAAATTGTACTATTACACTTTTCCTGGAGTAAAAAGCTTAAGTTGATGTCTAACTTCTATAAAAGTTTTTTTTAACAGTAGGATTTATACTTCTACTGGAGTAATAAACATTAAAACTTTGACACATCTGAGTATGAAACCACTTAAACCTCATATGGAGACATCAGCCAGCCTATGGAGGGAGACCAGGAACATTTTAGTGGAGTTTTACACTTTAAAGGACAATCTTATAAATTAAAACAACCTTTTAATATATTAAACATTTATAAACTATTTCTTTCGAATAAATGTAAAGCAGGAAAACATAATATTCTTTATAGGAGGAATATTATATGTGAATGTCAGGCTTCCATAAGAAGCAGCCCCCCTTCTCTAGCTGATATATTAGCCTTTTTTTTACTGCAGAAAGAAAGAAAAGGCATAACAAAAGAAAAGGGAAAGCACCACTAAGGAAAAGGGGAGATCTTGGATGTTTGTTTGGTCTCATAGCGCAGAGTAACAACCAGCCACGGCAGCAGGAAGAGAAGATGAATGGTAAAATCCAGCTGGAGCCTGAGAGGATGATACTCAAGCACAGAAGAAAGATGAGGTGGGCTTAACAAAGGGCAGACAGAATGGGAAATAAGGCTGTGCTTCTATCCACTTTCTCTTGTCTTGTTGACAACTCCAAATGGTTTCACACTCAAACCCACATTCACACACTCACATATGTCAATTTGCAGAGCGAAGGCAAAGCGGGCTTGGGCGCCTTGCAAGACAAACACGTGAGTGTACACTGTACATTCTCCCTATATATTTGGTCTGCAGGAATAAGAAGAGTGTTTGTGTGTAATCTTACCTATGCAGTAGCAGAGCAGGACAGAGAGAAGGACCGACAGACCAACTGCACTGAGGGCTGTACACCTGAGGAGAATATGGACAGAAAATAATATAAGAAAAGATGGAGACCCCATTATCACCTCCTGCAAAAACATTGGAAAGGTTATTCTACCCAGACTAGGAGCAGAATGCTGACAGAATAACTTCTTAGGTGTCATAAACAATCCCTTTTCTCCTGCTTAGTCCTTGTCAGAGTCACGGTGGGGCTGGTTCCTAGCTGCTGCAGTCTATGGGTGAGAGGTGGGGTCCACCCTGGACAGGTCACCAGTCCATTGCAGATTAACACAGACCCACACAACTAAGCACACCAACTCACACCTAAAGACAATTTAGAGATTCCAATTAACCTAACAGTCATGTTTCTGGACTGTGGGAGGAAGCTGGAGTACCCAGAGGGAATCCATGTACACTCAGGGAGAACATGCAAACTCCATGCAGAAAGAACCTGATCTGAGAATCAAACCGTACCTTCTTGCTGCAAGGCAGCAGTGCTACCCACTTAACCAGATTAGGATATTTATAAAGGTTTGCTCACAATCAGCAAGAACCATTGTGAAAAAAGACCTACTAGCAGCTCTAAAAGATGTTGGTTTGTTGTGAGAATATTTATTTCTGCAAAATATTACTCAGTTGAGTTTCTGCAACTATTACAACAAAAAAGACAGAAAAATAAAACTCAATGCGTAGAGGAATCAGGAGGTCAGAGATGAACAAACATTTAATTCCTCTTAAATCAGTTAGATGGCCTATGTTTGGGTGGATATAGGGATGGACTCTACTTTATTTATTCCTAGGCATTACTCCTTCAGAGAAATTCTGGTTTCCAGTAGCTTATATAAAGTACAAAGAATTAAAGCAAGAGTCCATTAAAGATAAAAATATGACAGACAATATAAAAAGAGTGTATAGACCTTATAATTAAGTGAAAAATTACACAAGCTAGACAGTAGTTGGCATGTCTTATTGTATAGTAGAGAGAAGAATATTGCACATTAGTGATAATAGATAATGTTTTGCACAAGACGTCCAAGGAGGGGAGGCTGACTGCTGTCCCTCATCCTATCACCTCCTCCCTCCCGCCAGTTGAGGACTTGTACAGCTTGATGGCCTGAGGAGCAAAGGAGTTCGGCAGTCTGTTGGTCCTGCATTTAGGGAGGATCAATCTCCCACTGATCAGGCTCCTCTGAGTGGTAAAGGCAGTGTGCAGAGGGTGGCTGGCATTGCTCATAATGTCCAGCAGTTTGTTCAGTGTCCTTGTCTCTACCACTGTCCCCAGAGGATCCAGCTTCTTGCCAATCACAGAGCGGGCTCGCCTCACCGGTTTGTCCAGTCTGGGGGTGTCCTTTGTGGATGTGCCACTCCCCCAGCACACTGCGGTGCGGAAGAGGACACTGGCAACCAGAGAGTGGTAGAACATCTTTTCTACAGATGTTGAACGACCTCAGACTCCACAGAAAGTACCGGTCATTCAACTCAACCCCAACCTGTTGGGTTGGGATTGAGGACCACAGTGTGGTTCCCTGGGTCCTGCTGAGGTGACCACACCTGGTTCAGTGGGGACGGGGGCTCCCAGAAGTGGGTGCCTGGGGGCCACGGGTGCTGAAATGGCACCCCCCCCCCCTGTCATGCATTGACCCATCAGAGTGAAATTTATTGCACCCCTCTGCTGGGGCATGCTAATGCCTGTAAAGTGTGTTGGGGGCTCTGGGGTGTCTCCCTTGCTTGGTGGGGGGAGGTCAGGGCAGGTCCAGGGCTCTGTAACTTCCTTTCTACCTCTTTGGCTCCTGTGCCTTGCTGCCAACCTACTTCCATGCAGGGTATATGGCTTCTCTGGGGTGATTTCTGTGTCTGCCTGTCAGAGGGCTGTTTATCTACCCTCTGCTTCCTTTATATGTCGTCTACTGTTCTCGCCAAACCAACAAATATACACCTTTAGGTGACAAACACACACTCCAACACAAACACCTATTTCTGCACAGATACTCCAGATGGTTGAAGGTCACACTAACACAGCATACTATAATATCAATGTGGCCTTCCTACTTTGATGCTGGCTCCAATCAGGATTCAATAAAGTCAAGTTAGCAATTAGGACAGTGTTTTGTAGAGCTAAACTGTGCTGGCACACGAGGACACACCATCTGCTACATATGGAATAGTGGAAATGCCACTTCAGGACTCACACACACCCACACACCAGGATACCTAAAACAGGAGGAAAAAAAATGGTTTCTGTTTTCATCTTACCTCCAGGAGCAGTACTTGGAGGACTTCTTGAACTTAAAGGCAGAGCGGGACAGGGTGTTCCTTGGCAACGGCCTGGTGGGGGGGGAGTACACGGAGCCTGTAGCCATGGTATAGCCAGGAGTGGCTGTGGAGAAGAGAGGGGTGGTGCCTGTACCTGTTTTGAAGAGGAAGTGCCTGAAAAGCAAGAAAAAAAGAAAAATCTTTAAGTTTCTTTGCATCTAAAGACAATAAGACCTGCAAATGGCTGTAATGGATGGTTCACCACTTTGGGAACTAACTGCTACTTTAACTAGTGATACAGCTGCTCTGTGGTTATTTTCTGTGAAGGAGGCATCACGCCTCTCTGCACTGGGGAGGAAGGGTTTGGGGCTAAACCCAAAAAGTCTTCTAAAATGTAATGAAAACATCAGGTTATCAGGGATTTGATTATGAACTGATATAAATAGCGAAAACAAGTGTATGAGCAGGGAATCCTTCATCACATAGATTCACATTCCTACAGCTGTAAGATGAGTCTGAGGAGTTTAGCTGGTCGGAGGAAAGTTCCTTCTAAATCAAACAAGGGAAAGGTCTGGTAATCACTGCTTTACATTAACTACATGTTTTCATGATCAGAAATGAAAGTTTTCCACCTGTTATAAGTCCAAACCTTAAATCTTGCTGAATCACAGCTGCACACATATCAAGATGCAGTGACACAGATTGTATCTTAGATCAATTTGGAAAGAAAGCCTTTTGCTAAATAATTACAGGTTCTTTTACGGAAACTGACCAGTTTACAGGTAAAGTCATTTATTCCCTTTGTTTTACAGCCTGCATCCAGAAGTCAGTATTTCTGAGTTCCACCAGGGAAAAAACCCATATCTGAATTATGACACAAACGTCCATGAAGTCAGCATCACACTCTGTATCTGATAGAAGGGAAAGTGTGAAACAAACATTTCCTTCCCACTATTTAGGGTTTATATCTTCTGAAACTTGTCGAGCCAATAGTGCCTCTCTGGGATTGTAAAACCTTGTCTTTGATAGTGAAAAAACAACTTGTTTATAGAGCCTCTTAAGACACACTTACGACCAAAGTTCTGTACGTAAAGTCAACTTGATGGAAAACAGAAGGAAAAAATAACATTTAACAAAAAATATATAAACAAATAAATAAATAAAGCAACAATTATGAAACCGTGTTACTGAATGTCAATAGGTTTTACGTCTGGCCTTATAAATGCCTCGGTCTGTAGAGGTATGAATGTCAGGAGGCAGTTTGTTGCAGAACCTGGACCCAGCAACTGAGAAGGCCTGATGACCCCAGTGCTGGGACTTGGCTCTAGGGACTTCTAACAAGAGCTGTTTTGCTGACCTTGTGGCCTTAGTTGGGTTCTGGACGCACAGAGTTCAGACAGGTATGTTGGCACAAGAGCGTTAAGGGATTTAAGAACAAAAAAGGAACATTTTAAAATCAATACTAAAAGAAACTGAAGTCAGTGAAGAGGAAAGGGATTGGGAGTACGTAGAGCCGAATGAGGGTTAAAAGGGGAGCAGCAGCATTTTGAACCAACTGAAGACGGTTGATTAATGACTGGGAGCACCAACACTGAGACAGTTCCAGTCGGTTCTCAAGCTTATTACTGGGAGATTAGTTTTCTAAAGATTAAAACAATTTAAGAAAGGTTTTACCTTTTTTAAAAGACATAGCTAATGAAAACTAGCCCTGAACACGATGTTGATGGGCCTGTGAAATTTCTGACTGCTGTTAAAGATGACTCAAAGGTTCTTTACTACTGCTTTAGATTTAGTATTGAGAAGAGTAAATTAATAATGTGAACAAACACCAATTAAAACTTTCTTTGATCTTCATTTAAATGAATAAAGTTTTTTTTATGTCTGAAATGCAGTCAGTTAAGGTTTGAAGAATTCCACTTGTATTTAGAAACACAGAGATACATCTGGAGATCATCTGCATAGCAGATGATATAGAAGCTACAATAACTTGGTAACAGGAATGTGCTCAGAGGTAAACTTATACATCATTGTTTAAATTCATTTCAGCTTTTGCTCTTCCTGTCTTCATCTCTTCCATCAACTGTGGAGAATTTGATGAACTAGAAGTAAAGTTCATCTGTCCCAGTAGGATTTTCTTGACATTTGCTCATTTGAATCTGTCAGCTAAAGCCAGAGTTTGCAAAGAAAACATACAAATTCAACCTCCTGCAGATATCCTGAAGAAAATCACACTATAGAAAGAAAATCCATGTTTGTTTTATCTGGCCACGCTCTGCTGGAAAGGTAAACATGTTTCTACTTTCCCACATGTGACCCCCCCGCACACACACACCCACTGTAGCAGCCTCCATGTGTTTACAGAGTTAGGATTACACCTTTTGTCTCATAGGCTTAAAGGATTGTACTGTCTTTTAAACTAACAGTATATAACAACTTAAAAAAAAGAAAACAGTGCAAAAAATAGAAATCTAAATACATAATTTTTTCTGGAATCTTGAGGAGGTAAGTGAGACACTTTACTAATGAAAGGAGACAATAAACATTTAAAATAAGAAAATAATAATTGTATTGTCTTATTTCAAGTGCATTTTATCTAATTATCTTATCTTAAGAGAAAAAATACTAATTCCATTGGCAGATCATCTTATTTACCTGCTGAAGTAGAGGGTGAATACACCTAGTTTAAGAAATGTTTACTTATTTCTAGATTCAGAATCAGAAATACTTTAATCCCATGGCGGAATTATCTTTGTTACACCCTCCAGTTATAAAAACAACATATTTACATAAATACAACATTCCACACTAAAAATATAAATATATATACATGTGTAATTATATATATATGTGTGTATATGAGCAAAAGAATGAATAAATACATGTCACATAAGTGTCAATTACGTATTCTATGAATCTGAGTGAGCGAGGCATTGTAGAGATTGATTCCTGTGGCGTTCTGTGGAGCATCTAGGTAAGAGGAGTCTCCTGCTGAAGGAGCTCCTCTGCTGGTCACTGTGTCATGGCGATGGTGTGAGACATTGTCCAGGATGGACTGAAGCCTGGACAGCATCCTCCTCTCTGCCATGGTCATCACCCCATAATAGATCGTTTTTACAGTGAAGTTTTCAAACAAGCAGCAAAATCTAAATAAAAGTAAGGCAACTTTTTTTGAAATAAATGTGTTTCTCCTTTGTTTGAGCTGAAAAGTAAGACAATCAGCCAAAGGAACAAGATGGTTTCCACTTAACTTAAGTAAGAACAACTCCAATCCAATTACAAGTGCATAATATCTAATCATCTTATTTTAAGGGCACAATTTCTCATTCCATATGCAGATCCTATTGACCTGCTGAAATTAAGAGCAAAAAAGAAAAATTTGAATCAGTTTCCACAATGAATTAATGCCCCTGTGTTAAACTATGAGCCATAATTTGGCTTCTATAACAAAATGAAAGTTTGCAGAGAGAGTTAAAGAGCTAATCTGACTTTGAGAAATTTTCTAATTTAACTAAACCCAGTTTTTGAACGAACCTAACAAAGGGACAATTTATTATTCAAAGAATACATTCATAGGAGCTTTAACATGAAAAGCAAACAGGCTTTTCCATCCCGGAAAGCTAGACATTACCCAGCTGGAGAAAATTACCGCCACATACATGTATGCCTGCAGCAAATTACCGAGGTCACAATGTCTAATTAATGACAGGACCCTGGCTAACGAGCCTCTATAATTACAATTAGAGTGCTCTCTAACAAGGCTGTGTGATTAACAATTAGAACCTATTATAACAAGGGTCCCTCAATTAATACCTGCCAGTAGGCAAGATGTGAAGACGGAGAGAACAAGAAAAGGATGGGGGGGAAAGCAGGATGTGGGGGGGTGGATGAGACCTAGCCTCTGTGTGTTCTGAACCTCCAGCAATCCTAAAGTATTTAATCAAAGGCGTAAGATGTGCTCTGCTCGTCGATCAAACAGCGGCCCACTTCATCAGGGTTTATATTTCACACGGTATGGAGAGCTAAACCTCTGACTGATATTTAATTTTCTTTATATTGCGGTAATGCCAGTATTACAATGAAGGGAAATCTCATCTTCAGTTTAAACAAGCAAAGACATTTTCATCAGCCAAAGAAATGAAAGGTAAACAAGCACGCATCTCCGATGGAGGAGCTCGGAATCCTGGGAAATATTTTCATTTTGAAGCCAAATGAGGAAACTGCTTTTATTTTTTTACGATGCAACGTTTTATCAGTTAGGCCTCAGTGTTGGAAACCTGAAGCGATAATTGTTCAGTTAAAGGTTGCAGGAAAACCCTTTACTGCAGCAGGCCTGCAGTGAAAGTCTGAATGTTAAAGCAGCGCTCCATCCTATCTGCTAGTTAGTGCCTTTTACAAGCGTCCCCCCCTCCCCCGGGAGTCGGGGCCTACCCGGAAACTCTCTGTTAATTAGAGGAACTTTGGGAGGTTGCCTCACCGACTCTAAATACGCTAAAACCAACACAGTCCATCAGTGTTGATGTGCTTTCAATTCATGTTCCTCTGCTTTTCATTCTTTTTTTATACATCACTTCCATATCCGTCCATCACCTTTTGGCTGGAAACCTGGAAAGAATTGAGGCCAGTAAACCACACTGACACATAAAAACACAGCTGTGAAAGTAACACCCAGCGACTAACCAGGATGTCTGAGGGAGGCACACATGCCGTCATGCGATAGCTCACGGTTTGCTCGGCTTGGAAAGTCCAACAACATCAAATAAAGTAAAATGACAAAGATTTTCAGCTGCTTCTTCTTATGCCTAAAAGCCAAACGGAGAAATGTGTCCTGCTTATCTGAAAACACAGGAAAGGATTCAACATTTGAGCAGAAACTGTCTCTGCTGGAACTTTGCTTAGAAGAAAGGATAAAAAATGACACAATTAAAGAAGAGAACCAATAGAGGAGAAAAAGGGAAACGCTGCAGGCTACGCTGGAAGTGGTTTAGAGTCTGTTAGGCTGGGATGCATACTGAAGAAATAAACGTCTCCATAACAAAATGTTGCTTTCAAATAATAAGCTGCACATTAGGCCCATGTTGACAGCAGTATGTAAATTCCTTGTCCCATCTACTTCAATTTCTCTCAGAAATCTAACAGAGAAATGCTTTTATTACCTTCACAGTCATTCCTATTAT